AACAGAAATCGTGAAAAAACAGGTTTTCGCGCAGGTGCAGTATGTTCTGCCGACATGTTGCCTCTACCAGGCTTCAGAAGCAGCTGGAAAGAAATTGGCCATGTGACATTCATGACAGTCATCCACAAAGTTGACTTCTTGTGGCCTACTCAGGCCTGTGCATTTAGCCCCATTAAATAACTATTCTAGTGGCAGGGTGGGACTTAGTTTAACTGGGAGGATTGTTTTGCATGATTGCAGCAGGGGCAGTTAAACACACGAGATCGATGCACTAATCACTCCATGATTGCCTTGTGTTTCATGTATAATTACATGTACAGGGGGGGACGGTACCAAATCTATTCCTTGGGTTTCTGTGTTTTCCAAGAACTAACATGTAATACATGTACCAGCCCAGAAAAGAACAAGAAACAGTCATGCCTTCAAATATCAGAGTTATCTTGAAGAATTGAGGTGTTCTAAAACTTGTATTTTCCAAGAACTATCGTAGAGTGGAACTTGTTGCCACCAAGCACAGTTTGGGCATCATCACTAGAAATGATGTTTTAAATAATTAACACACTAAGTCTTGCAATCAAATGTGCAAGAACTGAGTGTAACAAGTCGTTCAGTGTAATGAAGCCAGCTGCCGCCGCGCCGTGTGCTTGCAAAGCTGGTGTGTTACACTGAAGGGCAGTTATACCGGCTATACAGACGAGGACTCATTATCTAGATTTAACACAAAGACAATAAAACCTTGGGTTCTCAGTGGATTTTTTTTTAGCTGCTCAAATGATGCTCTACGTAAATTAATCTTAATTGTATGACACTGCATGTGTCTTGATGAAAATCTATAGATGAATGTGTGTATGGGAGAAGAAACTTGACATAAAACTTGGAACCCTCGTTATATAGATTTAGGCCACACCAATTTAATTTGTTGGTTCTCGGATTCGCCTCTTCGTTTTTTTCTGATTTGCAAAAAAAAAAATTTGATTCTGGTCCTGAATCAACTGAAAAATGCTCATGTTTTGCCCCCCAACAGTTCAGGAAAGTCCTTTTCTTCCTAGTTGTTACAGTTTTCCCAAATTCTATCGATTGCAGTGGTTTGATTAAAAGTTCAAAATTCAATGTTTTTAATTTTAACCCAGCCTTTTGTGTTGACTTCATGGCTCATTTTGTAGCATTTAAGCCTATAATAGGATGACTAGACCTGTTTTTATTTTTATTTTTTTTCGCCCTGTCGCTTCATATTTTTTCTAAAAAAATCCGAGAACCAACAAATTAAATTGGTGTGGCCTTAGCTCAAGTATTATGAACTCTTGGGTACCCAGTGGAATTTCTTAGCTGCTCAAAGTATACTCTTTGTTATACGTTAATTGTATTATGATAAATGTACTGAATTCATTGTAGTCAAATGTATTACCCAGAATATTGTACACAGCAATGAGGTTCTATTTCTGTTCTTGATCTTCAAGTATTCATTTCACAAATTGCGCAAGACGGGGTCTAAAAATAAGTCTGGTGATCACTGGAATAACCCCAGGCAGCTGTCAGTGTGGTAAATCACTCAAGCATTAAAGGCTGGGGTTAGGGAGGTACTGACACGCAGGGGAGTATTTAGGGCAGCAAACATTTATGGGACTAATAGTTGAACTGTAATTTCCAAAATAAAAAATTGGACACACAATTGTGCAGCTCCAGAGTTCACAGTACTGTACTGTTGTAGAGTTCAAGCACAATAAAGGAACTTTGTTCTAACACAATAAAGGAACTCTACAACAGTTTATAAAAAAATATTCTATTCTATCACTCGGGAACAAGACTGGGGTTAGGGAGGCACTGAGTGACACGCCGGGAGTATTTAGGGCACCAAATGTTTATGGGACTAAAAGTTAAACTGTACGTTCCAAAATAAAAAAAATTGGACACACAATTGTGCAGCTCCAGAGTTCACAGTACTGTACTGTTGTAGAGTTCAATCACAATAAAGGAACTTTGTTCTCACACAATAAAGGAATTCTACAACAGTTCTACAACTATTCTATTCTATCGCTCAGGACAAGACTGGGGTTACGCAGGCACTGACACGCGGGGAGTATTTAGGGCAGCAAACGTTTATGGGACTAAAAGTAGAAATTGAAGCAAAGTTGAACAGTTACTGTTACAATAAAAATCAAAAATCAAAAATTGGAGGCACCTAAATTTTGCAACTCCAGTCTTAATTGTTTGCAAGGAGTGATGAAAAATCTATCGCTCTAGGGACAGGGTGCCAATTTAAAACTTTCTGCAACTTATGATCACATGTTATATCTGCATAATGTGACTTCACTGTGACAGTACATTTAGTGTTTGAGACAAAAATATAGATATGATTTTGAAAACGGTCAGTCATTTCAGATAGCATCCACTACCTTTCGTCAGCGAAACTGGAGA